TTGCTCAAATTTTTCGAATTCTGAAATCAAGTACGAATCGAGCTCAAATCCAGCACGTTTGGGATTTCATCAATCTTTTATAATCAGAAATTAATCGTATTGCATCTCAAAATAAGTATACATTCGAGCTTAAATCAATTTCGAAAGTTCTCAAAATAATCATATACAACATACTTACTTTTTCTATAAAGTACAAACTTTTTTTAATTTAAACATGAGTAAATTGTTTGTTGGGTATAATAGCATGCCTACTACATTCTTCGTTTATATTGTCTTGTGTGCGTAAACAGTAGCCATATTGTTGTTGTTGTAAAAAGAAAAACAAATAAAATTAAATGCACTTTGCACATACAGATATACACTAACCAGCTACCGGTTTTACGTGTTTTCATTGGCTTGCTTAGAGTTTACAAAAAACACATTCATAGATATAAACACACACACACACACACACACAAATGCATTTATGCTCCCCTTTTAGAAAAAAAGAAACAAACAAATGTAAAAAATGAAAGATGTCAAATATGTATGGACAAAGCTTTTTGTTTTATGTGGTAAGAAATAGGGGGGATTATGGTGGGTATGAGATATCGTTTATAAACATTTATTTCAGAATCTATAATTTAAGAAATTTATTTCTGGATTTATAAACGCAAAGTAAATAAATCTACATACATACATATATATCAAATATCGTAAAGATACATTTCGAAAGCTGGCCCTTTATAGGGACTTGGAGAATTAGAATAATATGAACGTCAGAAGGATTTTTGGAATAAGGGATTGGGGGACTTATGGACCATGCTCTCCCAAATTAAGAAAAGTAATTAGGTATTTTTGTTTTCAAATTCTATTATAATTCAATTCTTTTGGAATAAAAAGTTTCGCTAAGAAGATTTTTATGGGGGATAGAGGGTCAACTATGAACAGATTCTTATAAAATTGGGTATATAGGTTTCGGTTCCTAAGAAACATTTTTGTGTCGAATTTCATCATTACATTTTAAAGCAGCTATAAGCGTTAAAGTAAATTTCTGAAGAGGCCCCTATATACGTATGGGTTTAGGGTAAATTATGCATCGTTCCTGATAAAATTCGATACAGATTTTTGAATTTTCTGTCCATAAAGCCAGTAGTGAGCGTTAAAGTCATTTTCTGAAGGAGACCTTATATGGGGGTAGAGTCAATTATGGCCAGTTCCTCATAGAACTTAGTACATAGATTTAAGTTAATATAAAACTCGTTTATGTGAAATTTCATTGCTATATTAGAATTTTTAAGTCAGTTATTAACTTTAAATTCATTTTCTCAAGGGGACCTTATAGGATCAATTATGTCCTGAACCACATAAAACTTGGAAAAGGGATTTTGGTTCCTATAAATCTTGTTAACATTGCTAAAGTGATATTTTTAAGCTCATAATGAATGTTTAAGTAATTTTCTGAGTGGAAACTTATATGGGGTCTAATATGTTTATGCTGAATTTCATCATTACACTGGTATTTTTAAGCCAGTTGTAACAATTTAAACTATATTTCGGGGTCCATTTGTTTGGAAGCCAGTTGAAATCGTGAACCGATCTTGAGCATTTTCAATACCAAACAACAATTTCAGCTTTCCATTTGGATCCTATCGTGTTTTCAACAGACGGACAGACATGGCTAGATCGTCTTAGAATCTAATAAGGACCCAGAATATATATATACTTTTATGGGTGTTAGACCAACATGTCGATATGTTACAAACAGAATGACCGATTATGCTGATTTTAAATAGGAAACTTCTTGAAAGTCTGAAACAATTATTCATGAAATGGATCCCTGAGAGAGGTATCCGGGGTTTTTAGAAAATTTATTTCAACAAACATACAGACGGACATAACTTAATCGAATTCGCTAGCTATAAGATTACAGAATATAAATACATACGTATATACTGTATTGGGTCGGAAAATGATATTGTGGAAATTCACCAAATTATATGGTGAATGTATTTCATCGGTTTTAACGTGCGACAGATAGTTTGTGTGCTTTAGAAGTAGTGAACCTGACACGTAAGCGAAGTTTGTTCAGGCCAGCAAAAAAAGGTTGAAGATCTAAAATTGCAGATATTATTGAAGATTGTTATCAAACTCTACAAAGGTTGCCGATCAGCAATATTCCTACAAAGTGGGTAACATACGATTTAAAGCCGAGATGTATTGAAAGACATAAAGCGCAAGAGATCGTAAGTGCTGAATCGATATAAATGCGAAAATGCTTTGGATTTTTTGACACTAAATGGACCCTATATATTAAGAACTACTTAAATGTGGTCACACCAATAGAGGAAACATGTACGGAATACAACAGAATCGTTTGAAGGGAACTTGTTCAAAAAACAAGAATCTGCGACCACACATTCCATAATGACAACATATTTTAGGTTCCACGAAATCGCGAATTTTTAAGTTTAAGACCTAATACCGAATTGTTACTAATTCTTAATGTTCAAAGGGACTTATTGACAACAAATTATCAAGGATTCTCTTTCAAATTTACAAAATAAACGAAGATAATCGATCGAAATATTTACCCCTATTCTGTATTTCAATTCGTATCGAAATTCTCTTCGTTTGGCAACTTTGGTAATCTGCATTTCAGAGCTCTTACGATCGTAATACAGAACACAATCGTGAAGCATTGAAATAAAATAGGAATTACTTCTTCTTTTTCTTACTATTCGGTTTTTTATTGGAATACCAATATTCGAGCGTAACGTAACTGAATGCGGAAAAGTAATCGGAATGCTGAAGAGGAGTGATTAATCCGGAAATCGAAACCATGAAGAATAGAAGTTCTATTTTCAAAAGCAAATGGTTATAGGGATTCGTAAAATTCGTTATTCGAATAGGCTTTTGCAATCGCTTTAAGGTTTCAGTTTAGAAAAATTTGCCATTTCTTTAAAATTAAGGGATTTTGTGTAAAAAAATATTTAAGATTTTGATCTAAACTAAACAAAATGATTGACAAGACAATTCTGAAAATATAAAACTTCTGAAAAGCAGCTAAATAGATTCCCAAAAGATATTTTAAGACTTCCTACTATAGCAGAGAAAAGACTTTTATTAGCTCTTAATAACGTTATTTTAGCAATTTCAAGATAGTACATTCTTTACACTCTTAAAATTAGTAAAATTTTGATTAATTTTAAAAATAAACGCGATTAAGTCCTTGAAAAATTCCAAACTTTTGTCGTCATAAAATTTTGTTATGAATGAGCGAACAAAATCATTCATAAATATTTTTAAAAGAATTTTAAGATAAATTAGGAAATAGTTGGATGTTTCGAGAACTCTACTCAATAACGAAAACAACAACAACAACTTGAGTATGTTTTAAATTAAAGTTTTGTTGTTAATTTGATTTTAGAAAATTGAAATTCTAACAATTAACGGAAATTGTTTAAAATCAATACAGGTTTGTTTAACTGCTATTGGTTGATTGGCATAAGTTACGCCTTATAGAGACTCTATACAAAAGAAAAGCTTGAAAACAAAAAAGAAGAGTGAAGTTAACAAAAAACACACATGCAGGGGCAAGCTAAAACAGGCAAGAGATTGTTATTATATTTTTTTCTTAAATTGATAGGGACAATTTTATTAAAAATTGTCTTAGTAGTGGTGGCAGTTTTTATAGTATTGATCTCCTTTTTGAGCAGCTAAACACACAGTAGCTGAGCTTATCGAGCAACTTAAAGATCAGTAGCCAGGAAAGAGAAGGCAAAAAAAAAAGCGGTTTAACTAACATGTTTTTATTTTTGGGGAGGGAGACAGACTCACACACAAACAAAATGAAGTTGAAGTTGTTTAAACAACGAACAAATGCTACTCGTTTCTAGCATAAAGCATAAAGAAGAAAGAGGAAATGGAACAAAACCTAAAGAAAACCCCCCAAAAGAGACTAATTAATATGTACAGGTTGAGTTGGGTTACACACATTGTACTGGTTCTACTAACTCTTATACTTCTTCTTTTTTACCACCAGTAGCCTTTTATTTGGACATAATTACCAATACTCCTCTGAGCGAAAATGTGGCGTAGGTAGACGCCCCCTTTTTTTCAGATACATATTTGTTTTGAAATTTGTTTTTGTTGTCTTTAGTTTAAAGAGGCTTTTTCTTAACTCTTTTTCGGTGGTTATTTGGTTTTTTTTGAGGGGGTATTCAAGTCGGCTTAAAAACTCAATAGGTTTTAGCATGGAAGCCCTTTTAAATTTGATTTTTCTCTAAATGAGTCATTTTTTTTGTGTGTTTAACTCTCTTTTTTGGAGAAAACTATTTACTCTTTTAATGCTTGACTCTTTTTTTGGCATTTTAATGAATGAAGGCTAGGCTCAAAGTGTCTAAAAGATTGTTAAAGGCTAAGAAAGAGAGAATGAGAGGCAATGAGTTAAGAAAGAGAGGCAAGAAACTAAACAGCCGTAAATTGCTGCTATATCGGATGTTTGCCCAGGAAAGGTGAATGAATGTATGAATGAACGAGTTTGAGAGAGTAAACGTTAAAGACCAGTGTAGAGGTGAGTAATGTAATGAAAAAGGTGGTGGTAGCGATGATCATGAAGATATTTTGTCTTCATTTTTATTTTGAGTAACAACCACATACAGGCACACACACTCTTTAGTAAACAAAAACAACAACAACAAACACGATACCCAGTTTAAGACAAAGCAAAGCGCCCTAAACAACAAAACATCCAGCCAGCCAGCCATCCATCCGTCCAATTCAAACAGCCACAGTCAACCAACCAAAGATTAGAGCAGTAGTTCAAAAAAAGAGCAGTGCAGAAGACACACAAAACTAACTCACACAGATGCAACAACAACAACAACACATTGAAAACTCAAAACCCAAGACCTGAACAAGAAGAAGAAGAAGAGCAGGAGGTGAAGGAAAACGAAGAAACAGCTAAAGTTAAAGTAGTGATCGGTGATCAAGACAAAAAAGACAAGACACAAGTAAGTCGTTGTGTGAACGTGTAGCACGGCAAAACAGAAACATTTAACAAATAATAATACATACATACCTACATAGATAGCTACATACAGACAAACCGAAAGACCGTTGTTTTCTTTCTTCACTGTGATCATTTCATTTGTTGTTATTGTTCGTTCAAAAAGAAAAACAAAAAAAATACGACCGATGAGTTTCGTACGTTTGCTAAGTTGAAACCTAAACATCACACTCTACTACTACAACTACTACATCTACCTCCATATTAAAAACTCCACAAGCAGAAGCCACTCGCGAGCTCAACACAGGCAGCCGTTAAGCTGAAATTTCGATCGTAACTTTGCAGTTGACTGTCGCGCACGGAAGCGTTCGGAAGTGGAATATATTTTATTAATAATATTAACGTCTCCAACAACAACAAAACCCAGCAAACAACGAACCAACCAACCAACCAGCAAACAAATCAAACTTTTTTTTTTTTAAACTCAGTTTAATAAAAAAGCAACAACAACTAACACTAACAGCAGCAGCAGTATTATTACTTGTCTTGTCTTAACTTGACTCAACGCGAAGCGACTTGACTTGCTTACTACCAAAAGAAGCTTGGCTTATTTAGTTTGTTAGCAATCACGCACCAACAAGTAGTAACACGCGTAGTTATTACAAAAAAAAAAGTTTAAATTACAAAAAAATTTTAAAAAAAGCATAAAAAAAGAAACTGTTAAACAATTTTAACAAAAATTTTAAATTAAAAAAAAGTTTTAAAATTATAAAACAAATTATAATTTCATAGTTACGGCAATAATTAAAAACAAAGTTTTAAAATATTCTACAAGTTTTTTGGTTGAAACAATTAAACTTTTAATAAGCTGAGAGTCGTGATCTATCAAATGTTTAAAACATTTTGATTTTATTAATTCCTATAATTTCTTCAGTTATTAAAAAGGTAAGTTTTGTTTTTTTTTATTTGATTTTAATAATATTCTAATTGTATTCCTTTCTAACTTGATTACTACTGGTCAATAAGTTTTTTTTTTAAACTCGATCCTGTTCGTGCTTTAGTTAAAACTTCGGCTACTGGAGTTAAGCACCTCCTACTTCTGTTTTCTTCTTTTACTGTCAAAGTAAAAAAGCTCTTTTCTTTGTCTTGTGCAAAGAGCAACTAAACAGAAGCCAAAGTCTTAGCTACACAGAGAAAAGTGTTTTTTTTTAAATATCTCAAAAATTTGTTGGCAAATGTAATAATTTGGTTAAAGCAATCGAAAAATTTACAAAATTTGATAATTTTGTTAGAACTTTAGTTGGCTCAACTAAATTTCTTTAATTGCTATTGGAAATGTATTAATTTTGTTACTGCAATCAATATAAATAGTTGTGTTTATTAAATTAAAAAAAACCAAACAAAATGTTACAACATTTGTTAAGAATTTTTGACGGTTTAACTAAAAACTCAATTGCTATAAACTAAATTATTCAATTTACTTAAAATTTGGTTACAACAACTGAAATTTCCGTCTTTGAGCGCTAATCGACAAAAGGGCTTAAGAAATATTTTAAATTTATGTTAAAACTTAACCCTACATTAATCTCAAAGAACTGATTATTTCACTATTATGTAAAATTTAAATAATTTATAAAAAAGTTTTACAACAGTGTTTCAATTATTCTTGAAAGTTCTCTTTAAAAGCTTTAAGTGTTAATTAATCAAAAATTTGGTTGCAGCAACTAAAAATTCTAGACTCTGTGTACCTATTACAATGGAAAATGCCTTGAGCTTTAAGATAATGTTTAATGCGACATTGTTTTCACAGAAAATGTTATTTCGCAATAAGATTTTGAATTTAGATACACGAAAGTTTTCAAAAGCTCACTTTAAAAGTTTTGAGAAGATTTTTTTGTTCTTTTATCAAGAAAATTGGAAAAGCGACTAAAATTAAACTATCGTTATATGTATCGAAAACGTTTAACATTTTCGATCTCGAAAGTTTTTATATAAACCCGTTAAAAAGCTTTTTTTAAGTTTTTTTGTTATTAAAAACTTTCAGTTATAGATCCGGCTTTTTAAAAATCAATATTGATAGATTTTTCCTCTAAACCAAACAAGCTTCCGACTAGATCTCTGCTGTTTGATCTACAACTTGATCTTGAATTTCATGATCGTTTAGGTTAAACAGTAGTTTTTAAATCATTCAAATCTCTATTAAAAGCAAACATAAGCTCTAACAAAGTTCTCTGCTAAACGATCTATAGAATGAACTTGCATTTCATGATCTTTTGCTATAAACAGTAGTTTTATAGAATCTGTAATATTTCAAAAACCGAAATTTCCATTAAAAGCTGACGTAAGCTCTTACAAGATCTCTGCTGTACGATCTACAAATTTATGTGACATTTCATGATCTTTTGCGTTAAACAGTAGCTTTATGGAAGCTGTTCAAAAGCCAAAATCTTTATTAAAAGCAAATGTAAGCTCTAACAAAGATCTCTGCTGTACGATCTATAAATTGATCTTGCATTTCATGATCGTTTGCTTCAAAGAGTGGTTTTAGAGAAGCAGTAATATTTCAAAATCCCAAAACTGTTTTAAAAACAAACATAAGCTCCCACAAAGATCTCTGCTGTACGATCTACAAATGGATCTTGCAAATCCATGATCTTTTGTGATCCGCAATATTTCATAAACTAACAAAATATTGATAGATTTTTTTATTGAAACCATTCAAAACTCCATTAAAAGCAAGCTTCAACAAAGATCTCTGCTGTATGATCTACAAATTGATCTAGCAATTCATGATCTTTTGCGATAAACAGTGGTTTTAGAGAAGTAGTAATATTTCAAAAAACACTAATCTGTAATAAAAGCTAAAGTAAGCTCCAAAAAAAGATATCTGCCGAACACAATCTACAAATTGATCTTGCAATTTATGATGATCTTGCGTCAAACAGTAGTTTTTAACTTAATTGGCGTCACAACACACTCTCAACACTTAAACACTCGCTAAGCAACCAGATATCCCAACCATTCATTAACACTTTCAACCATCATCCATACAGTTCATGCTTGGCTACCGAATTTCTTGTTTGTCACATTTCCCAACAACTTTTTCTCTCTCTGTATAAATTGCCGACTATGTACACTACTACTCGTTTGTCATGGGGGGCAAAAAAAAAAAACAAGAAAGAAGACAAGTGTGTGTACATTTGTTGTCTGTGGATGGATTTGTACGTATTAAAGTGGTTATGGCCTTAAGAGCTACCAGTCTTACGCTTTTTGATTGGCTGCTCTGTTGGTTTTGTTTTTTTTTGTTCGAGTAATTTAAACAAATAGCACGTAAATTAAAATTAATTATTATTTACACTGAGAGTAAGAAAGAAAATATAAAAGTTTATATATTTTAAAAGCTTTAAGTTAATTTTTTTTGTTGATAATAAAGTATTTTAAGGTTTGAGTTTATTAGAAATATTGTTTAAAGATTAAATATTATCAGTATGTATATATTTGTTTTGAAAAAATTTTCCAAACATTTTTGTGAAAGCTTTCTGAAGCTTTAGAAAGTTAAGACTTTAATAATACTAAATTATTTAATATTATTTGCGCCGGCTTGTGAAATCAATTAAATTTTTTTAAAATTTTCTTATTGAGTTTTTTTTGCTATAAAAGTTTTAACAACAACAAAAAGATTTTTTTATTAATTTTTCCTTAAACTTAATACTTTAACAATTAATCTAGTGGAAACATTTTTCAATTATTTACAACCTCCGAATTTTAAAAATTGCACAAAGTTTTGGTTTTTAAACAAAAAGTTGAAAGAATTTGCCAAAAGTTAAAAGCAATTTTTTTTAAAAAATTTTTTAACAAAATATCTTGTTTTTGTAATTTAATCCATAGATTAGTGTTTAAAGATTATTATTCTTAAAATTTCAACTTGATTTTGTCAAGCACCCTACAACCAGCACTCATTTAAAGTTTTAAAAATTATATAAAATTCTTAATTTTTCTTTTTTACTGTAAAATTTTAAATAACAACAACAAGATTTTTTCATAAATTTTTCCTAAATTCTAATACTTTAAGAAATAATCTAATGAAAACTTTTTTCAATTATCTTAAACCTCCGAATTTTAAAAATTGCACAACGTTTGTGTTTTTAAACAAAAAGTTGGAAAAATTGACAAAAGTTAATAGCAAATTTTTCAAAAATTTATTTAATAAAATTTCTTGTTTTTGAACTTTAATCCATAGATTAGTGTTTAAAGATTATTATTATTAAAATTCAAACTTGATTTTGTCAAGCACCCTACAATTAGCACTCATTTAAAGTAATAAAAATTATATAAAATTCTTAATTTTTCTTTTTTACTGTAAAATTTAAAAAACAACAATAAGATTTTTTTATAAATTTTTCCTAAATTCTAATACTTTAAGAAATAATCTTATGAAAACTTTTTTCAATTATCTTAAACCTCCGAATTTTAAAAATTATACAAAGTTTTGGTTTTTAAACAAAAAGTTGAAAAATTTGACAAATTTAATCCATAGATAAGTGTTTAAAGATTATTATAATTTACATTTTAACTTTATTTTGTCAAGCACCCTACAACAAGCACTTAATTAAATGAAAAGAAAAATATATAAAATTCGTATTTTTTTAATTTTACTGTAAAATTTAAAAAAACAACAACAAGATTTTTTTATAAATTTTTTCTAAATTCTAATACTTTGGAAAATAATCTAATGAAAACTTTTTTCAATTATTTACAACCTACGAATTTTAAAAATTACACAAAGTTTTGGTTTTTAAACAAAAAGTTGAAAAAATTGCCAAAAGTTAAGAGCAATTTTTTTTTAAATTTTTTTACAAAATATCTTGTTTTTGTAATTTAATCCATAGATTAGTGTTTGAAGAATATTATTCTTAAAATTTCAACTTGATTTTGTCAAGCACCCTACAACCAGCACTCATTTAAAGTTTTGAAAATTATATAAAATTCTTAATTTTTCTTTTTTACTGTAAAATTTTAAATAACAACAACAAGATTTTTTTATAAATTTTTTCTAAATTCTAATACTTTAGGAGATAATCTAATGAAAACTTTTTTCAATTATTTACAACCTCCGAATTTTAAAAATTGCTTAAAGCACAGAGTTTGATTAGTAGAGTTAAAGATTAGTGTTATAGTCTGATAAATTCCCACCTTAGGCACTGTTAAAGGAACCTATAGAAACCTCAATGTATTTCCTTGGATTTATAGCCATTGTTCTCAAAATTTCCTTTCTTTTGCCAAAAAAAGAAAAGAAATAATTAAAATTAAATTACTTAAAATAAGAAAAATAAAAACAAAAAGGTCAAAGTGCAAAGCTAAATATTAATTTCTTTAACTAAAATATGTTCTTCCCACATAAATCATTTATTTTCCAAACAATAAACTAGTAGTGGAAGAAGTACTCTAGTTTTTTTTTACTATTAACTATATTTTATATAATTTTTAAAGTGTCAGTGTCCTGATGACATTTTCACACGCATTTTTAACTGCCCCAAAGAAAGAACTTCAAACTATTTAATGAAAACAAAAGAAACTATAAAAGAAACACAATGAGATAAAAAAAAAACTAACAAAATTGTTTTGTTTGAACAGACAAAAGGACAATGAAACAAGCACTTGAGAGAATGCCAAAAGAAACAAATAGTTTATAGAAATGTTTTAGTAACACACACACACATACACAAAATAAGGCCACTGTCCTGTTTTTTTTCTTTCTTTAAAAAATCTTTTGTTAAATAGGTTACTACTACTTTTACGTTTTAACTTCAAAATTAGGCCGCTTTAGTGTAAAGAGAAATTAACAACAAAGAAGTTGATATTGATTGAAATAAAAGAATCCTACTAACGATCGTTACAACGATCGACCACATGCTAGTTTTGGTTTAAATTTATTATAGTTTTTT